CAGAGGCACTGTAAGATTAAGCCTGTATTTTGGCTTCTGTCCTGTCAGGCACATGCTATGGAAGAGCAGGAAGAGAGAAGGAAATAACCTGCTTAGTTTTGGCCAAAATAAAACTTTTGTTTTGATAGGGTCAGACTGACTTGGCCTGAATTGTCTTGGTGCTGATATGCCCTTGAAGTCCCACTGATTCATTGTTTGGAAAGTAGAGACTGTTACTGTTGTCTTGCGTAAGAGCTTTGAAGCTTTGGTTTACTCCCTGGCTTTGCTAGATTTTTTGTTTGTTTTGCTCTGTCCGTCTATACGCAGTTGTCATTCCTCCTTCCGTCTTTTAAGTATGCTGCAGTAGCTGTGCCTCCTGCACTGGGCATCCTTGCCGTTGTGTGCACGGGTGTACTTTTATTGAACTAATTTGAGCAAGCTGATTCTTCCACATTCAGCTCTTCTGTAGCCATCTTCCTTCCCCAAGCGCGCGTGAATAGCCTCTTTATAAACCAGTGCTGCTGTTTCATGACTGTGAGCCCTGGCAGAACCGAGGTGAAAGCTAAGACGTTTCTACGAACGCTGGCAAACAAAATGGGAATTTTGGGAGCCTTTCCAGGTCCTGGACTAAAGCAGTTTGGTTTGGTGATCCACCAGAAGGCAGAGGGCCCTGCTGTGTTTCAGGGTAACCCTGGGGAAAGTGGCTGGACTGAACAAATATTTGCATCCCCTTCCTTAGTAAGAGGGGTGATAAGAGAACATCTTGTTTTCTCTTATTCTAGCAGTGATTGCCAGTGCTCTTAAAAAAAGAGCTCTTTTTTTCACTTGTTGAGCGCTATCTTTTTTTCTTTTTTTTTTTTTGGAGGGGGGGAGGGAAAGGGTGAGAATAACCACTTGAAAGACTGGGTAAGATTTGCCGCCTTATGTGTTTTTTGCTGTCCTTTCTGTTCTGCTGTCAGTAAGTGCCCAAAATAAGCCTCTTTGACTTGTTAAAATAACCCGCACCTTGCCTCGCTAAGGTACCTAGCTGCAGAGATTGCTGCAAAACAAAAAGGAAGATAAACAGTTCTTCATGGCTGTAGTACACAGGGCAAGAAATGCTGGACGTAAGTTGTAATAAGGGAGGTTTGGTTTGGACACCAAGTACCAGGCTCCTAGCTGTAAGGACTTTAGAGGATGTAGAGTTGGCTGTGTGGAGAGGCTGTGGGTTGTCTCTCCTAGGTGGGTTTTTGGAGTAGGTTTGGCTGACGCTTGTCAGGAACACAGAAGGACAGACTAGCTGAGCTCTTGAGGTCACTTGCTGCCTAGTTTTCTGTAAAAATTAATGTGTTAAGTACTTATGTGCTTTCATTACAGTTACCTCTGGGACATACTGAGATTCATGCCCAAAGTAGTAAATACTTGTGTAGAAATTATTTTGACAGCGTAAGTATGTGGCACAGAACTAACGTACTGTCTGAACTATAACATGTGAGTGTTTGACATCAGCTGAGCAGAGTTGTTACTACTCTTCCGTCTTTCTGCTTGGAATGTGTTTTGGTTTGCAGATCTGAGAGAAGGATGGAAATCCCAGTGCTTCCCTCATCGTTTAGGCTCAGGAATGTCCTCATCTCTTCCTTCCCAGCAGGTGTCTTCTCAGGAGCAAATCATGCGAGACCTCTAAATTCCCACAGTCCTTTGTTTTGATAAATGCTGAGAGTTTTCTGTTAATTGCTGGATTTGGAGCATTCTCAGGCTTGGCATCTAGAGTAGGAGAACACTTTGTGATGCTGAAGCATAGCTCTGATCTCGGGGAGAGGAAATGCCTCTAATTGCAGAATAGGTTGCAATAATGGCTTGATGTAGCATAGGCAAATTCAAATACTCCCTCCTGTTCTGGATTGTTGATGCCTTATATAAGTTGGTGACGTATGGAACAAAGATTTGTAATAATTGTGTCTGTTTAAGAGAAATACTTGAGCTGGTAGAAGTACTGATGTCTATCTCTTATCACTAAACTTTACAGGAAGTCTGGGAATATTTTTGAGGGTATAATTTGCCCCTATTTCATTTTTTCATCTTGATATAGACAAGATGTATGTTACATAGTCTAATTTATAATCTGGTGTATTGACTTGGAAGTGAAAGAATCTTGGCTTCTGCAAACTGTTGTGCTTTAGCAAGCTGAAAGGAGTCATGCTGATTTACAGCACGTGAGAGTCTGACCTTAACTCTTCAGACTACGTAATTAGATGTACTGCGCTCTTAACAGTAATGCTCTCTACTGGAGTTAATGAAAATGAAAATTACTGAAAGTATTGAGAAGGAGTTGAAAAACTCACCTGCTGGAGTGAATTACCCCTCTGGAGTAAATGGCATGAGCCATTATTCCTTCTGTAGTACCTGTTGCATTTGAAACAGTCACGTTTGCTATGAAGCACAAGGCTTGAAACTGCACCGCCTATCCTTTTTTCTGCCCTGAGACTGCTGATAAACTTGATGGCTCCAATTGCTCGCCGAGGCTGGTGATCTGTTGCACCAGGTACGTGGTAGTGTAAAAAGTGCCTGTGCTGTCACCTGCACAAAGAGTCCACCTAACCCCAACAGTTCCCCGGAGAAACAGCAACAGAGTTGTACTCCTGTTGCTCATCACCCTGGAGTTTGCAGCCCAGAGGCAGGTGGTTCTTGGATCCATCTGCTAGCAATGTGGGCTCTGACCAAAGTTATCACGAGGTGTGTGTCTGTTGTTTATCCTAAGTCTGGAAACGTGTGGTGGGAAGCGGTGGTGGAAGTGTGGTGGGGCATGGTCTGCTTTTTCACAGACCTGCCTGCCTGCCTTTGATTGGCAGAAAATGTTGCTCCTTGCAGGTGCTGGGATTTGTTCAGATGGAAAAAGAAAAATTTGATTACAGATGAGTTTTATTTGAGGGATAAAGTGCAGTAATGAGTTGAAGGTTGTTGTGTGAAAACGGAGGAGAGAGAATCTCAGGGTGTGGGGGTTTATGATAAAGAGTAGAAGTTGCCATAAAGGTGGAGATGGGGAAAACATAATTGTACCACCTGCATCTGGTCCAGGAAGCTATTTATAAATATGTTTGATTTTTAAAACGAATACTTCAAATTTTGAAGCCTAAAATAAGTGTGAGTAGAGAGACACATTCCAGTTCAGGGTAGGAGGAGTAAAGTTGCACTTTAGATGCCTGATGATGACTCTGTCCATGTTTCTTCATCTGCTGTGTTTCATCTTTTTTTTTAAAGATAACCTTTTAAAGATTACATGTATTTGGATAGGGATCATCTTGTAACATTTGCAGACACCTGTTGAAAAAAAAGCTGCCCAATATTTAATCTGGTAGAAGTTTTTTTTTTTTTTCTTTTGTCCTGTACAATTTCCACGTGCTCAAGAAAATGTAGACAACATTCCCCTGCCCACCCAGAGGGTGGTCCAGTGCCAGAGTCAGTTGCTAGCCATAACCACAACCTCTTCTTTGTCTTGTTTTTCTGAGTGTCTTAGCAGAAGGCAGATATGACCGAGGGTACTGCGCATGGAACGGTCCCTCCATAACTGAAAGTCGGCGTTCACGGCGCATGAAATGCTAAAATGAAACCACACTGACTGCAGGCCGGGGTTTGGGTGGCAGACAAAAGCGGTAGAGGGAAGCAATGAACTCGAACAAGGTTGCAGGTGGGTTCGTGGCAGCGATGTCTGAGTAGGGCATATGCCGCTCAGCTGTCTCGCTAACATCTCACCACCCCCATCTAGAGAGGCCCGCAGTGAGCAGAGAGTTCATGCTGGACATCGGCTGCTGAGGGCTGCAGAAAAATCTTTTAAGTGAATTACTTTTAACCTACCATTTTATTGCCTGGGGTTGATCAATGTAAAGTGATGTGTATGAAGGGGGGAAAAAGACTCTTACAAGTTGATGAGCCTTGAGTCAGCTTTTACAGATCAGGCAAGAAATGAAGTTGTAATGATGTGTCTAGGGAAATATGTGCCCAGTGTGTAATTGTCAAAAAAAGGCAAATTGAATGCTGGACATTATTAGGAAAGGAATGAGGAGGAGTGGCACAAAAGCCACCCCTGTGCTACGACATAAATTCACAGTGTGCATGTACTGTCTATGCAGTGGCTGAGCTGCTGGTGAGTCATTAGGAGTTTCATGCAGCTTTGGATCTTCAAGAAGGCATTTTCTTTTCTTTTTTTTTTCTTAATCCTCCTTGTAATTCTGTCATGTAATCTATGTAAATTTATAGGGCTTTTTGTAGAGGATTGTAGAGAGTTTTCATTTGTGTAATACTCCTACATATATCAGGCTACCCAGTCCAGTAAACTCTCCAAGACAGTGACTTCTTCCAAGTCTTACATTTAACAAGATGCCCCAGAGAATTACTGCTTTTCATTTAGTTTTATTTATATTCACATTAATGAGCGGAGTATGTTCTTTAAGGCATTGCACTTAATTTTTTCCAGAAATGAAAAACCATTGCGAAAACCATTCTGAGTTACTAGGCCGTTCCTGGCTGAGCTAATGGTTTGTTTTAAAAACAAGAATAAGCCCTTTAGTCAACCAGGTCATTCAGTAATCTATAACCTTTGTTAAAATACTAGAAAAAACTTGCAGGCACTTGCTGGGAGTTACACTTTGTGCAGGTGAGCAAAATGCAAGTGAGTTGCGGCACTCAGAGGTAATGCTGAACAAAATGGAATTATTATTTGCCAAGTCATCCAGACAATATTGAGGAGTTGCGGTGTTGTCACTTCATGTCAGGGTATGAAATTTTCCCAGTGCTGGCTCTGTGACAGGTAGTTGGCCAAAACGCTGTGTTGTTTCTTGGGAGTTACTGAAGTTTGCTGTGGGTCTGCCGTGTGCCAGCGCATGCGAGGTGCGCACGGAGAGCGTGCTCGGCTGCAGGAGCTTGCCTCTGTCTTCGGGTGCAGGAGCTCTCTCTTTTTGAGAGTCCTTAATGTCACCTGTGGCAAAGAGAAGGGTGATGGCTCCTGTGTTAGTACCAGACCAGTCCTCCAAAACCCGTGGGTCGTGATGCCCTGCAGTGAAGACAACAGGAGGGAATTGTTGGAAGAGAGCGTTACTGCTGCTTGTGGTACTGGTGCACATTAATTGAGATGTAAGAACCAGAGGCAGAGGGGCAGGAGGCGACTGGCAGGACAACAAATCCAGACAACAGCAGGTTGGAGGAGGAATTGCAATTTACTTTGCAGGTGCTTTTGTTCAGCTCAAAGTGAGTGCTCACTGAAATGAGAGAAGTGCTCTTTGGTTAAGAACGCACACGTGAATAGGTCCACAGTGAGTCTTATGTTAAACTGATCACATTTCCAGAAGCGGATCAAATCCATTTTGCTCTTTGTGTTGACGGTCCTTAATCCTCCTTGGAGAGCAATTTGGTAGGTCTACTTTTAATAATGTTTAGCAAAAGTAAAATTAGATTTAAAAATATAATTGTTAAAGTTAAAATAAAAAATTTAATAGAGACTAACATGTTAAAATACAAATTTACAAATAAATTTATGTTTGAAAAACAGCAAAACTGAATTATGGTGACTACCTCCTCAAAGAGGAAACAAAAGTAATTTTCAACACCTTTTAGGATTTTGCTCAGGACTGGGTGGTCTTTTGAAAAGTGGGAGATTATGTGTTAAATTTCGTATTTCATAAGTGATTCTCACCCAGCCATCGTTTGCATGGGACACTGATACATTACTAGAGTCTGTACAGAACATAATCCACCTTTTTATTCTTCCCACTTTTGGGATCTGCTTTGAAGTCTGTCTTGAGGACAGAGAGAAAAAGGGTTACATGGAAAAACTGTGGCATATTGGAGGGTGTAAATAGCCCTTGGTTTGCTAGCAAGTGTTACACAGCTCCTGAGTTACAGTGATGCCCAGATTTTATCTCCTGCCTTCCAAGGGAGGGCTGGGGAGAGATGTTTTCTGTTTCCTTGCAAGTGTGTGTTGGAGAGCTACTGGCTGTATGTTCACTGGGTGTTGCTGTATGTACACATTGCCTTTTTCTTTATGAAATCACCAAGTCAAAGTGTGATAGGGAAAGTGGCCCTGGGAATTGAAAGCTTATGGGCAGAGGCTACTGTAGAGCTGCGTCTCATGCTCTGTGTGGAGAGGGAGCAGTCCTGTGGTGCCTGACTGCTGCCCGGCCGCTTCCTGTGCATTAGGAATATCTAATTTTTCATATGAATGATGTCATTTATTATTGAGTAGAGGAGGGGACAAGGGAAAGTTGTCAAATGTGGTTGCTGCTGTACACCTGAGGCCCATATAGTTAGATGCTCAGAGAGACCACATGAAGTCTCCCAAACCTGCAAGTAAACCTTTTTGTGGATTCTGTCAATGTCTCTTGAAATCACATCTGTTCATCTTCCCTCAACGTTGTATAGTTTCATGCAGCTTAAACCTGCCTTGTATTCAAAGTCCAGTTTGAAGGATGCAGGCACTGTTTGCTTCGAATATACCTCAAGTGTTTGTCTCTTCATTCATCCATGCTGTTAGATACTTTTGGCAGTGCTTAAAACACTTAGCTAAAGGATGCACTGAGCCTTTCAAGCCTGACCGAAACCATCAGTTTCATGTATAGTATCTGAAAGCTGCAATTGAAATTGCTTTGTTTTGACGTAGACAATCCATAGATGTGTCTGCTGGTAGCTCCTCGCTGAGTTTGTATGTATGAAGAAATCCTCTTCGTATAAATAGAACAGCCTGTCCTCTTCTTTTCCCTTTAAGTGCTTTTTCCTCAAAATTTTGCACTTCGTCTCCTGAAACTTCACGCAGCGTCTTCTGGCTTGTTCTTCTGGTGAAAGATCAGCCCTTAAAAAACACCAAACCTCTCTGGGCTGTCAGAACTTCAGGCTTAATTGTGTTGCTTCACCGGGACTACTGATACAAATTTAGGATCATCCCCCAATGGTGACTTGTAAGAGTTAGCTCACCCCCTGAGGAATTTTGTGGGACAAGAAAAAGATACGTAGCCGGAGCGCATCCTCCCTGCTGAATCTGAGGTGTGTGACAAGCAGAGGAGGGGTGTGTGAGCGCCTCCTGAAAAACGGGTGAAAATCTTTCATGGGGAATGTTAACAGTCTCCGTTTGGGCACTGCTGGTCTCCTGCTGTTTGTCTCCTGATATTCCTTAATTTGATTCTTTGCAAATGCTTCAGTCTTTCCCTTGAAATTGTAGGAAATTCATTATTTTGCATGTTGTCTTTTTCTGTATGCACTCAGTCAAACAATTAAAACCTTTATGCACCTTCCTGTTTTACTCCTTGTCTGAAACCTTCATTCACCTTTTGATTTTACTGCTTGTCTGAAGTTGCCAGTTTGAGTTCTTCTTTAGTATATTTTATTGTGCTATGAGATGTTTCCTCAGCTGAACCATGCGATGCTGTCTTTATGCGGGACTATGTTTTGCTGCTTCAGTCACTGCAAAGAGAAAATTGAGTGGTATTGTGTGGTGACTTGAGCTGTCTGAATAAGTGGAGAACATCTCTTGAGGTCCATGCCCATGGAAGGAGCCTCACTTCTATCGGCTGATTCGGAGCCGCCTTCTCTGAATTCCCTGAGGTGTTTGTGTAGGGCTTGGTTAACTTGCGTGTTGAGTTACTGTGTGTGCACTTAAAATAAAGCTAGGAGCCACTTGCAGATACTGGTCTTGCAGACAGGTCTCTGCCTGCTGCTTCTTGCAGATGATAAAATTTCTGGGAGCAATCTGCAGTGCCTTGCTCTGTGCTTTCCTTTCTAGTCTGTCCGCTTCTGAACCAGAAAGATGAGGGAAACGGTGCCATTTCACTGAATTTCGTTAGTCACTGATGCTTTCTCCTTGACTAGCTCTCACCCCTTTATGAAGTTCTTGACAGCTGCCTATATATATTAGAAGCTTTGTACTGTTGCCTTTTTTGGGTTGGAGCTGTGGGAACCTTCTGCCTGCAGAGGTCAGTCCTCCTCACCTAGCCAGGTTCAGCCGAGCTTCGAGCACCACCTGTGAGACAGTGAAGAGGCCGCCTAAACAAATGGCTGGGGCAGATGTCTTTTGGTGGTGGCACGGCATATGTGGTAAATTTCAGGCTAGCTGGTAATGGGCAGATAGCTTTTCTCCTGCAGCCTCTGCAGACCTACTCTCACAGCAACCAGCTGGCCCTCCTAAAAGCATCAGTAGAAACATTGCAGAGACCTGAGGAGAGAGTAGGTTATGTCTATCTACATCCGTGTTGTGATAACATACGTAAATGTGATAAGAATTCACCAGTTCTCTGTGTGAGGTTGTACCTGTTTTCTGGAGCAGGAGGTGCATTTTTGCTCTGCCCAGACAATCACTTTGTTCTCTTTGGTCTCCTCTGTCCTGATGGGGTGGGGGTGGTGTGTGCTCCTTCTTCCATAGTGACCACCTCTAAATGTGTTGGGCATCTGCATTTTCAGCTGTGAGAATCTGCTTGATCATCCCTTCGTTGGCTGTTTCCACCCCTTATCTGCCCCATTTAGTCAGGAATGGCACCCAGCAGAAGGTTTGGATATGCTCCATTCCCACTTTCTTTCATCAGTGCAGTAATCACTCTGTGTTCAACCATGGATGATGAATAACATGTTTGTACGCAGCAGTGACTTGCAGTGCTGCTTCTTTTTCTGACTTGCAGACTAACGAAAAACAAACATCTGCCTACTGCTCGCATTAAGATGAGTGCCAACATGAAAAGGGTCATTCTTCTTTTTGTGCCACCAGAAGGAAAGGTTACTTTGCATGGACTGGTAGTAAGCTGCATAGAGAAGTGGACCTGGATTTTAATGCTTGAGTGGGAATGGGCAAAGCGGTGTTGTGAAATGAGAAGTCAATGAGCTGGAGAAGGAGGAGGAGGAGAGGAAAATTGTCTGCTTTTGATGGCACTAGCACGTACGATCGGTAGCAACAATGGGCTGCAAAAGGGAAGCTTGAAGCGCATGGGGGTTTTTTCACTTGCTGGTGAAACTTAGGAAGTGGTAGAGCGTGCTTCTGAAAAGCAGGGATGTGCAAAAACCTCCTGTGTACAGCAACAGTTGCTGCTGGCAGGTGATCATCTGCCCCGGCACCGGGAAAGGTCCGCGCTTCCACGCCAGAGGTCAGGGCCTGAGCAGGTGTGTAAGGCTTCACACTTGAACTGGTAGAGAGTAATTTGGAAAGAAGGAGGAGGACTCGAAAGCCATAGCTGCATGGCTTATTAGTTCCTAATTAATGCGAGGTGCTGGGAATGAAATAAAGAATCCCTTGTTTTCCTTGCACAGCTTAACGTCATGTAAATCCACGGTAAGAAGCTGTGGGAAATATCACCCCCATGAGAAATGATTTTTTTCAAACACTGTCTTGCTTGAAAGCATGCTTTGTGGAGCTCAGGTGGAATTCTAAGCCTGTTGCTTCCACAGTAAAAGATATAATTAGTTGCTCTTGAGTTTCAAAGCTGTATGCAACTGGTGACCTTTAATTTTATCTCCTTCATCCATTCTGCTCAGTGTGTAACAATGCTGTGTTTTCTCCCATTTATTCCTGTCACATGCACTAGCTTATAGGATAATTCACTTTCAAACATGTCCATCTGCTTTGGCTACATCAAAGAGCTCTTTTGGACTTTAGACTGTTTAAAATCTATTTTGAAATTTAAGAGCTCATTTTAGTTCTCATGGAGGGAGAGTGTGGGAGGGCATGTCTTGCTGTAGGCCTGTAATGCATTGGGGTAAACTCTCTTTCCTTTTCCATTGCCAACACCTTAGTAACAAAACGAGCTGGAGTTCATGCACTGCAAGAAGTGTTACAGTCATGTACGTTCTCAAACCTAGGGGAGAGCAAATGTGATTAAAAAGATGTGTTCCTAATTGTATTTGACTCCATATGATTTTGTTTGTTTGTTTTCACAAAGTCCCTTGTTTGTGAAGACTTGCTCATGGTTGTTCTTTGATTTCCTCAGTTTGCAACTTCATGTCTCATGAGAAGTGCCTGAAGAATGTCAAGATACCGTGCTCGTGTATTGCTCCCAGCCTTGTAAGGGTGAGTAAGCACACACTGCCTTGTCTCTTTCTTGGGATATTAGCTCAAATTTAACACTATACCATGTTCATTGGTGATTAATTTTGCTTAAATCAATTGTGTTAGTCATTACTGAGGCTTTTATAGCTGCTCAAAGGCATTACAAAGGAATTACATTTCCTTCAAAAAGTTCCCCTGCTATGGGCAGCTGTGGATAGTCTGTCTTTGAAGAGCACTTATTTGCATTCTTTAAGTATTACTAGATGTTCTTACTTGTGTGTCATTACCTGGAAGCCTCACAATAATGGAGTGGAATGACTGATTGATATCAGTACTCTCGGAAAACCATACCATGTGTCATACTGAAGAAGATCTCTGTACACCACCAATGTTTTTACAGCAATTACATCTTATGGGGAAAATGCTAAAGCTTCTCTGCCTAATGAAGGGGCTGTGTTTGGCTTCTATTGATTGCTGCATCTTAAAAATTTGCTTGTTTATTGTGTCCAGAGAATGAAGTAATTGCATTAAAAACATAGGATTTCAAAGCCAAGAAATCAGAGGGCAGGACTTCAATTGATGGTAATAATTCAATTACTGGTAATAATTCAGATTTATTTATTTTGGTAATTAATAAAGTACTTGCTCTCAGATGCCCTGTGACTTTTATCCCGCAAGACTTCATGCTTAAGAGGTTGCTTTTAAAGGGTGCGAAAGCTGAATCAACTTTAAAGAAGATAACAACATGCAACTAAGGTATCAAGAAGCTAAACTGAGGAGGAAGTAAAGTGTATTATCCACTTGGGAAAGGACGACAGAAAAGGAAAAGAAGGGAAGAAGGAGATGAGAAACTTACTAGAGAAGTAGTAAAACACTACAAATATCTTAAGGAGCCATATGCAAAAGTCAAAAGAGACATGGCTGTAAAATCAGAATCATGTGCATTACCGACCTCGCTGATAAAAAGCACATTTATGGGAACACATTGTGTAGACCTGGGAACCTGTGAAGTGGAGCTGATTCCCTTTTTTGTATCCTAAAAAGCTCTACAAGTTCCTTTATGTCGTGGAAATCTATGTACGGGGTGAGATAGGAAAGTTTAAAACAATATGTAACTCGAGTTATAGTAATTGGATAGAGAGAAATTAGCCACTTGTTTTTCTTAAATTTGCTTTGTCTGGGTGATAACACTGTTGGGCTTTGCTACACGTTTTGTCTTCCCCACATACTTTTCATCTTGAGAGGTATAAATCAGGTGGCAAAAAGGTGTCTGATACATAGGAAGTTGCCCATTAGAACCCACAGTAAAGGGACATGTAAATAGTTAGAGATGCTATTATTAAGAATTAGCTCTACTGCTGTTTCAGTATGCTGGCAGTCAGTCATTGTACCATGGGAAAAGGAATGATGAGTCAAATGATATAGGTATCTTTGCAAGGGCCTTCAGGGGAATCGTACAAATCCAACTGGGAAATATTCCTTTAATTCAGAGTGTCAGAGTTGTAAACGTTTGTGACTGCTTCTTTTGTGAATTTGCTCTAAATTTAATTCATTGTTCAAAATAGTATTTGTTCCTTTGCTTTTGCATGGTAAAAATCCTGCTTTTAAACTTGTTAATATGTTTCCCCCTGGATCAGTCATGGATGTCAGTGTATTTTTTTTCTTCTTTTGCCAGTCCGCATTCTCTACCTGCCCCAACATGTGCATTTTATCTAATTTCTATTGTTTACACATAAAATCTTAACTCTCCTTGCTGTTTTGAACAGAAGTAGAATTTGTTTTGTCGGAGCGTTGTTGCCAGCCCTCAAAGCTGTTTGCAGTTCAGCGTTGCTGTATTCAGCTGCAACGAGTCTTCTACATTATCCATGTTGAGCTGTAACAATTATGTTTTGAAAATACTGGGTTGTGCTGTTCTTTCTGGACAGTCTTGTCCTCTTTGACATAGTCATCCAAGTTGCATTAATCCTGGTCTGCTGTGCAAGTGAAGTCTGCCATATGGGAGGCGTTGTTTTGCGTGCAGGCTCTGTCAAAGTAAATATTGAACTTGGCATTTGCTTAAGAAACATAACAGAGAAAAAAAAAAGATAATAATTTATAGAATGTGTGGAAAGTTTATTTTCTTAATCTCCCTGCTCTTCTTTCAGATTGTTTATTATTTATTTATTAAAAGGTACAACGTAGGAGGGAACACTGGTGGGATTTTTTTTCTGATAGTTCCTCCTAGCATGTCAATATTCAGTGTATTACAGAAATGAGATTTTTTTTTTTTTTTAAATCCCCTGGATTTCATCTAGAGAAGATGGCAACTGTTAAAGCTCATCAGAGTGTGTGTCATTTGATACTAAGTCAAACTGTCAGAGAATAATTTTTCAGCAGATGTTTCATGGAAACTTTTATTCCTGAGAGTAGGGTTTCCTTTCCAGGGTCAAGTAGAGGCCCACAGCGTCACAAGCATGCCATGACTCCATCCAGCCTCAGATCAGTCTTGATGAGTTCACTCTTCAGGCTGCCCTAAGAATTTTTTTGCACTATTGTTAATCATTATCACCTGCATTTAGTATTCCAGACTGGAGCCAGGTCATGATGTTTCAAAACAGGACTTCATGGCTCAGTCTTCTGAACAAGTTTGTGTTTTAATGGTTTGCAGGGGGTATGATTTGTTTCACTGATAAGGTCTTGGCAACTTTTCCAAATTCAAACCCTCTCTCCCCTACATTCCTGTAAGTATTTGCTTATTCTGAGGTCTTCTCCAGGGCTTTAAGATACCATCTCTCTCTGGCTTTTATTATGGTCCACCTCCTGTATGCATCCTATATTTCACCCTTTGGGAAGAAAAACAATATTTGAAATCAAGAAGAAGGAATCTCTTTTTTTGATCACATAACCAAACCTCAACTGGTTCACTCACAAGTTGTTGTGGTTTAACCCCAGCCAGCAACTAAGCTCCACACAGCCACTCACTCACTCCCCCCTTGGTGGGATGGGGGAGAGAATTGGAAGGGTAAAAGTAAGAAAACTCATGGGTTGAGATAAGAACAGTTTAATAATTGAAGTAAAATGAAATAGAATAATAATAGTAATAGTAGTAGTAGTAGTAGTAATAATAATAATAATAATATAATAATAATAATACAATAATAACACACAAAAGAAGCTATATACAATACAATTGCTCACCACCCGCTGACGATGCCCAGCCTGTCCCCACGCAGCGATCACTGCCCCCCAGCCAACTTCTCCAGTTTATATACTGGGCATGACACCATATGGTATGGAATAGCCCTTTGGCCAGTCTGGGTCAGCCACCCTGGCTGTGCCCTCTCCCAACTTCTTGTGCACCTGGCAGAGCATGGGAAGCTGAAAAGTCCTTGACCACTGTGAGCACTACTTAGCAACAACTGAAACATCGTGTGTTATCAACATCATTCTCATACTAAATCCAAAACACAGCACTATACCAGCTACTAAGAAGACAATTAACTCTATCCCAGCTGAAACCAGGACAGTATCCACCCCTTATACTATACCATCTACATCATGCCCAGATCTTACACTTTCCAATACCTTCCAATTAGTGCCCACCACTTTTCCAGTCCTTTGAGTTCATTTAGTCCATGACTTTGGGCTTCATCTGTCACAACAGTCTTTCAGGGCAGGAGAGATGGTGTGCGGTGCTGGATTGTTGCGTTTCTGAAGCCAGTTCTGGTTCTACCACCTCTGCAGTTTGCTCCGTTTCCTCAGCGTTCATTCTTCATTAATTTGGGTGATTCTTACTTTATACTGTTGAAATGGCACATAGTAATCATAGAAGTGATGACATACAGTATTATATAGCAACTAACATTAGACAATTCAGTTCATTGGCTATTTTCACCCAAAATCAAATCCCCTTGAGGTACACATCGGTCTTCCCCATCCTCCCACAGCAACCTTGGTTCGAATCCAAGTCACGGCACCAATACTGTCCTGGTTTCAGCCCTTAGATTTACCAGAGAACTGTGTGTGTGTTTTCTATATAACTGTTCTTTGAAAACTGAATGGAAGTTAGGCATTTGCTATGCTTGTTTTCCCTTTTTGTGTTGGTGCGTTGCTGTAACAGTTACTAAACATTTCCACTTCAAGAAGGGTTGATAGGCTGCTCATGAAACTTTCTTGTGTGCTTTTGTTCTTAAAGCCAGGTTGTCTAGAATGGAAAAAGGCTGTTTTAAGTCATCAGCTTTTCCTGAAGCTTCTATGCTAAAAATAAAACTTGGCTTTGTAGTTCAGAACGTGGGTAGCCGCTGCATTCACAGGTTGTGATGGTGAATGGGAGGGTTGTAGTGCTCGCAGGGGTCTCTGCTCGGGCAAGCAGGTGTTGCCATTGCCTGCTGACCTGAGTTTCTCCCTTTGCCTGCTGGATTCAGTTGTGTGCAGGTGGTTATTCAGATCAGTTCCTCATGAACTGAAAGTAGAAGAGAGGAAAACAGGATACTCAGGTTAGGGAAAGTCCCCCTAACCCCCCTTCTGATAATCTGTTCTGTATTGGACACTTCACACTTTGTACACACAACAGGAGCATCTCATTTTTCTGCAGCTGAAGGACTTCCGTACTGGCACACAACCTCTTTTTTGTTTACTTTCCCTCCCTACCTCTGTTCCCTGCCCAAGAAGCAATGGGAAGCTCCAACAAAATGAGGAACAAAGTCCATCAGGGTTTGGTTACTGCTTCACTTGCCTTGGAATAATAAATCCCCCAGTCTCATTCAGCTGTCAAAAATGTCTGATGGATTTTTGTGTGACTGCCTCAGAGAATTAGCTTTTAAGGAATGTTGTTGCAAATGGCTCATAAGCATTTTAACAAATGGCAAAGATGTTGGCAAGCTGGGAAGGAGAATTTGATGTGGTTGGATTGGGTGGGAGTTCTGGAGAGTATAGGGGGAAAAAATCAGAATCTGATTTTGGAAAATCATTCCTTGGTGGTAGTTGCAGGTGTTAGAGGTTTTATATCAACACGGGTTAAAAAAATGCCGCAATGCATGCTT